CGAAGGTTATATGTCAGTATTACATAAGTCAGGAGACATCACTGACCCAAATAATTATAGAGGACTAACCATCACTAATGCAATTGGTAAGCTTTTTAACAGTATACTTAATATAAGGTTGGATATTTTTTTAGAAGAAAATAATGTAATTAATGATTGTCAAATAGGTTTCACAAGAAAGGCAAGAACATCTGACCATATGTTTGTTTTAAAATGTATTTTTGATAAATACTGTAATACTAAGGATGGGAGAGTGTTTGCTTGCTTTGTTGATTTTCATAAAGCTTTTGATAAAGTAATACATACCGGAATTAGAATTAAGCTGTTAGAGATTGGGGTTAGTTCAAGGTTTTATAGCGTTATTAAGAATATGTATCTTGAAACTAGATCTTGTATAAAAATACATGATAGAATAACTGAATTCTTTCAAACCACGCTTGGTGTTAAACTAGGAGATAACTTGAGTCCTAACTTGTTTAAAATATTTATAAATAGCCTTCCAGATTATTTTACACAAACCAGAGATCCAATTATGCTGGATGGCAAACTCATTCATTGCCTTATGTATGCTGATGACATTGTAATGTTATCTAACTCAGCAGAAGGACTACAAGAGAAATTAAATAAACTTCATGATTTTTGCAATGATTGGTGCTTAAATATAAATACTAAGAAAACTAAAGTGTTGATATTCAACAAGGCGGGCAGACATATCTCTCAGAAATTTATTTTCAACAAAGATGAGCTGGAGTGTGTATCTAGTTATAAATATTTGGGTATCCAATTTAATGCATCATGTTCTTTTTCATATGCTCAGAATGATTTATACCAAAGAGCCTTAAAAGCGTACTTCAAATTATGTAATGATTTTTTAGTGCATAATCCTACTGTTAAAAATGCAATTCATGTTTTTGACCATACAATAAAGCCTATACTTTTATACGGGTGTGAAATTTGGGGATATTTTAATCCCTTTACTGCACGTTTAAAAAAGAGAAAACATATCGGTGGATACAATTTACTCAAGGATACTTTGTGAAAAACTTCATATTAAATTCTGCAAATATATTTTAGGTGTTAATAGAAAAAGTACAAACTTTGCAGTTTTGTCTGAATTAGGCCGTTTTCCACTGCACTATGATATAGTCAAACATGTTTTAGGATATTGGCATCGTTTAGAAAATATTGGCTCATCATTTCCCTTGTTAAAAGCTGCATATAATTGTTCTAAAAAGCTATTTGAAACAAAAAAGCCCTCTTGGTATGGATCAACTAATATTTTAAGGGAAAAAATGTCAGGCATAGAAAAGCATATTGTTGAAAAATATTCAACATTTAAATTACACTGTGGTCAGATTGTTAAGGGATACTATACTACATTGTGGAAAAAACAGCTAGATATACATAAAAATGGTAAACTACGAACTTATGTAACATTCAAGTGCAACTTCGGTTTTGAAAATTATTTGTCAATAATGCGACATTTTGAGCAAAGGAAATGTATAACTAGATTAAGAATGTCTGCTCATAAATTGCAAATTGAATCTGGTAGATACCAGGGTACTCTTCGACAAAACAGAATTTGTCTCAGGTGCACTTCTGGTGAGGTTGAGGATGAAGTTCATTTTTTATTTAAATGTGACACTCATTTATTAAAAAGAGAGGAATTGATGCAAAGTATATTAAAATCATGTCCAAACTTTCAAAATTTAAATATTAATAACAAATTAATTTGGATAATGAATAATGAGGATCCCAATGTACTATTTGCATTTTATAAATATATAGAAGATACTTAGAATTGAAGGACAACATAATCTGCAATAACTAATTTCAATATAACTCTTTAATATGAATTTGGATACCCTGTTAAGCCTGCACAGATCATAAGAAGAATTTCAAATTCTATGGCACCGTCCCTTGATGATCTTTGCTGGCTGGACACAGAATCTATAATCTTAAAAATATGTTTTTAAAATATATTTTAAATAATTTAGGAGTTTGACTCATCTGCATTTAGGTGGTACCTAACACTACAGGGAGATAACTCTGTAAAAATCAGCTAAACGTTTTAATTACATTGTATTGTTAAGGAAATATTAAGCTTCTCAATGATCAAAATTAGTGTTTGTCAAACTGCTATATAACCAATGAAATTTTTCTGATAAAGTGGTTGGTTCAAATTTTTTGAAATTTTTATATTTTTGTCAAAGGGTCAAAGTAAACATTTTTTCAAAATTTTATGAAAATTAAACGAGCCAAATTAATATTAGTCAAGGTGTTGGGTACCACCTTAAGTATAAGTAGGGACTTCCCTTTAAGCACCGTCTCTTGGTGTTTTTTGCAGATAAGTCATATTAAATATCCTTTATTAAATATACTAACTTGTTATTTGCAGTATACCTCATAGTCAAATGTGCAAGTGCTTAAATTGTTTTTTTTTATATTGAGATTTCTCCGCACAAACTACTAATGCCTCTTGTTTGTCTTTCAAAGTGAAAATACACTTACCGGGTGCACTTGAGTCAATGTCAACATAGTATTCATTGAATAATAATACATTGCTACTATTTTGTTGAGTGTATTTTCTGTAGTATATTATTCTATTTTATTGTTTTTATATCACAGGTTACATATCTATTGTCTGTGTATTGCATATGTTATTGTTTATAATAATATTGTTTGTATGCTATATGCCCTCCTGGGGCCCTAATTTGGTAAATAAAAATATTCTATTCTATTCTATTCTATTCTATACATTAGGTAAGGAACATTAGTTACGGAATCTATTTTGTCTCTACCTACCGGTGCCAATTGTTATTATGTGGTTACCAGAAACTGCTCCAACAAAGTTATGAGGAGGCCAGATTAAAAATGACATTCCGTAAATTTTACGGACACCATCACGAATTGGTTGATCCATACGATGTTTGTCCAAACTAACTAAGGACATTTTTACCACGTGTTAAATTGTGGTTTGACATTACGTCGTCTGATCTTTTAATTACCGAACGTGACTTACACGATTGTGACTGTTTTGCTGAGTGTGAATTCGCATTGCTATAAGACGTTTCACGGTACTTTTCTATCCAAAATTCATGCATTTAGTTTTGATGTTATATTTGTTATTCTCATCGGATTTTGTCAAATGTCTTATCGTTTGTAGTTGTAAATCCTATTTTTTTCTTTTGTATTCGTGTGTTATGGTAAAGATAATTAATCACCCAGTTTATTTATTAGATTTTAGGTTGGGTCAACTAAATTTATACGATATATTTGGTTTACAGTTTGATTTAAAAGAAACACCGACATAGCTAGATAATACAATTAATTATCTAATTACTACCAAAATTTTATATTTATTAGTATTGTAATGTTCATTGTTATTAATAAATATTATATGAGTATTACAAACCTAATCTTGAATTCTATCCTAATTCTATCCTATTTTGGGGAAAATTTTTAGAAATTCAAATGTGACGTCACTTTGTGCGTTGATCTCTTTGGTTAACTCGGCTGTGAATTTTTATGTGCTGGTTTATGTTGTTTTATGTATTCGTTTTTATTCTGTAGGTAGCCACCACTTCGGTATTATCATGTATATCTATTATATAGTCATTTTTATAAAGTTACTGTTTGCAAAAGTATGAATTATTCTAAATGCTGAAGATGTTCTTATCCCAGACAGAAAACCTTGGCCGTGTTTGGCACAACTTTTTGGAACTTTTGGTCCTCAGTGCTCTTCAACTAAATGTACTTGTTTTGGCTTTCGAACTTTTTTGATCTGAGCGTCAGTGGTTAGTCTTGTGTAGTAGGTTTTAAACCTGGTACATTTTGTTAGCTATTATTCGTATGTTTCTCTGTCCTATATGTTCTCCCATTTATTTGTATTGTAGTCTTGTCATGTAATGTTGTCATTTTAATGTTATATTTAACATTGCCATAAAAGCGGGAGGTTTGGCTAGCCACAAAACCAGGTTCAATCCACCATTTTTTTCTTAAAATGTCCTGTACCAAGTCAGGAAAATGGCCATTGTTATATTATAGTTCGTTTCTGTGTGTATATTTTAATGTTGTGTTTCTGTTGTGTCGTAGTTCTCCTCTTATATTTGATGTGTTTCCCTCAGTTTTAGTTTGTAACCCGGATTTGTTTTTTTCTCAATCGATTTATGAATTTCAAACAGCGGTATACTACTGTTGCCTTTATTTACCAGTTCTAAATCTACAAAATATAACCCTAGCCTATCTCTATCTGGTAATATAATTATCTTAATTTCAAACTCAAGTATATCTTTATATATTCTGTATGACAAGACTTTTGGCGAATTACAGCTCTGAGAGTCAGTTTTCTTAAACTAACACTTTGAAGCTTCGCGTAAAGTTTTTTCCCTGTTCAGACATATAATTATTCTATGCATATTTAAAAATATAAACTTAAACAAAATGTTTGATCATTTATTCTTTTGTCGTGAACAATAATTCAAGATCAATAATTTACTATACGCAATTTGATGTAAACTAACAAATGAAATATACCGATATATTGTAACGAAAACCGAGCGGTCGGGCCTTAGTGTTAAACTATAAATGTTTATCCCTTAGTGCGTTGCTATAAGAATGTGTTATGTTAGAATGAACGAGTATATAAAAAATAAAAGTTATATCTGGTGACTCTTCTTTGGTAGCGTGGACTCTGGTACTCTGGTATTCTGAATACACACTGGTAAGGTTTGGTTCCTCTGGTAAGGTAATGACTCTGATATAAAAGGGTAGATTGGAGTATAGGTTTTTGTATGGTAACTCTCGATGTTTGTAAGAATAACAGACTCGTTAAATAAAAATCAATTTGTATTAACTTTAAGATGCATTAAATATCAATACATATAAATATTAAATAACTTAACAGTATTCTAGTCTAACAAATAAATACTTTATTAACCTTCTATCGTGAATTAAAGAAAATGGATAGCGGAAAAATATAGTTTGGTGATCGGCAAATGGTAAATCAAATTCAATGCCAAAAGATAAAGTTTCTCTCGAGAAGTTATTCTCTAAATGTAACTTGTAAAGGAATTAACAAACCCACATTATACGGACGTAGTCTACTCGGACATTGTAATAGTGTTGGCTGTCTGGTTAACTACTTGGTCTGGTACATGGTATCTGTACGTATATCAAAATCGCTTGGACTTAACGTGTGTTACTTGCCCAGGGTAAAATTGTGCTGAAGACTTATCTGTATTCTCCGCCGTATTTATACTTAGGTAAACCAATTTACCGATTTGGTTTACCATTTACCATTTTGGTTTACCATTTACCATTTCGGAAAATACCTAAATTACCAAAACCGGAACTGGTGATTACCAAAATATGTAATGACGTCATTGTACGTCATTTTAAGTACACAATGCACAGGTGTTCCTATGTAAAAACATAGGCAAGAATAATAATATGTTTTAGAGTTAACAATGTTTAAACATAGTTATACAAGAAATATATAATAAGAAAAGTCAATTATCGGTAAGATACAACGTCATCACACAATTTTAGGAGAAACAAGTTGCAATTCAGGGACCCACATTTCGTTACACTCTCCCCACCTTTGAAAAATAATGTTTGTCCACAAACATGAATAGACATTTCCTAAAATTTAAAACAAGTTCTTCAATATCATTCATTAAAATATTCTATAACATACATATTCAACATTATAAAACAATAATTAATCAAGTTTAATTAATCTTTGGAATGTTCATTGTTCATATACATCTTTTAGTTTTGTAAATGTTCATATAGCACCAACATCGCTTCTTTTCATAACGATCGTTCATAAAACACGAGTTCTGTTTATTTTGACGAATATTTATAGAGCACCATCAAATCTTCTCGGCAGGACGAATTCATGTTCATTAAACACACTTAATTAATTTCTGTGTGCATATAATGACGAATGTTTATAAAGCACCAACACATCTTCTTCGCATGATGAATTTTCTTTATTCGGAACTAATTCTGTGTATTTTGACAAATGTTTATAGAGCACCATCAAATCTTCTCGGCTAGACGAATGTTCATAAAACACTTATATTATTGTACAAATGAATATCCTGAAAACAAGTTACATATTTAAACAATCAATAAATATATACAATATTAATAAAAAGTTGAAGTATATTGACCGTCAATTTAAAAAAAAAACTCTTTCCCTTATACAAAATACATGGACTTTTATCTTTAAAAATCAAACTCAATAATCCTTGGTACAAGTATATCTATGTCTGCAACAATGAGACGGCGATACACAATTTTATTATCCGACTGCGTTGGTAATTCAGCAGTCCCCACCGGCATAACTACACTTCCATTAGCCATGCGTAAACCACTACGTGCATTGGACAGCACTGGCTTTACACTCTTGGACATGATATTATACATGGATGAGTTAAGGACACTAACAGTGGACCCGGTATCAATCAAACAATTCAATTTCATGTCATAACACTGACAATTACAAAATGTACATATATATTTTCAGAATATATTTATCTGATTCAATTTCTCAAAATTATTGGATTTTTCAAATCATATTTAGTTGCTGCTGAAACTTGGTCCTCAGTTTCAGCCGCTAAAAGTTTCCCCGACCAGTCATTTGGTCTGCCACTTTTCTTGGAATTTAGTTGTTAGTTCTGTTACCTTCTAACCTTTGGGATCGGTTATTCAATAGGAGACATTCCCTTTTATATACCGGAAACCCCACAATGGTAACAAGAAAAAGTTTTCTTATTTTTTTCTATTATTTTCTATTTTTGCAAGACGACCTGAAATGCCATCAACTTGTTCAGACAAAGAAATTTCCCTATTTAGATCAAAATTATCATTTTCATTTACAGCACAAACTAGCTTAGTGCCGTGTTTACGTCTGTCATTTTGGAATGCTTCATATTCAAGAGCTATTTGAATAGCGTTATTAATACTTTTTGCTTTGGCCTGGAAAATAGCCCATTCCATGTCAACATTTAGGGAATCAATAAAACAATCGCATGCTAATTGTTCTTTAATCTCTATCGGAGCTGATGGATACGCTAATCTTACTTGACGTTTTATGTCTTGGCCTAACACAGGTATTTGTTCCGTGCGTCCGCGTATTTTACTTTTCATTTGCGCCCTGTACATTTCTGCTTGATTTTCTGGTTGAAAACGAGACGCTAAGGCGGTTGTCAGTTGTATAAAATTGGTCCGCATCTCTGGTCTTAAATCGGTTAAAATACTTTGGGCGGTACCTCTTAAGCTAGTAGCTAGTTCTAAAGCTTTCTCTATGTCAGACCATTTGTTAATTGCTGCAATTAATTCAAACTGAACTAAATAGTCTTCCCAATTACTTTCACCATCATAAAGTGCTGGTTTCTTTTTGTAATATTTTGTATTTTGTAAGTTTAAATCATAATCACGCTCAAAATTTTGTTCATTGCTAATGCCAGCATAATTTGAATTACTGGATTTCATCAGTACGGTGTTAATGGTCGGTCCCGTTAACCCCAACTCTGAATCGTCCGCGGGACGTCAAAGGTAATGCTTGGTACGTTGCTCCCTGATTATGGGGTACGCCCCGGTCCAAAGTCCTAGGTAAATCTCCCGAATCCCATCTACCCCGTCGGGCATCGGATTCACAAGACGTCGCGACTCGTCTTGTATTCCCGGATTCTCCCTCAGCAGTATCCCTTGCTTTCTGACTCCAAAACCCATACCTAGACCCTCTGGCAGCATGGTCCAAAAGAGTCCTTGACTCTTCACCAAAATTCTGTTTTACCGTACGCGCTGCATTTTTTTTCAAATGCACAACCGTTGCCCTATTTGAAACTTCCGGGTTTTTCGCTTGGTCAATGACCACTTTCCTTGATGGTGATAGATCCCCTGACAATGGCCTATTGTCAGCATGATGTATACCATCCTTTTCGTATCTATTCGTATTCTCTTGTGAGGGCCATTGATTTTGGTTCACTCTTATGCCTATCTCTCCGGTCGGCGTCAGATCATGGAAAATTTCACAGGACCGAGATCGGGGGAGCACTGGTCTACCCTGGGCAGTTAACCTAGGTGTTTCAAATTTATTTTCCGCGCTATCCATTTTACTTATTTTTATTTATGCCTTATCTTGAATATAATTACACTTTTTTAAAGAATATAAAAATGTAGGTACGTGCCTCCGCTGCCACCACTGTAACGAAAACCGAGCGGTCGGGCCTTAGTGTTAAACTATAAATGTTTATCCCTTAGTGCGTTGCTATAAGAATGTGTTATGTTAGAATGAACGAGTATATAAAAAATAAAAGTTATATCTGGTGACTCTTCTTTGGTAGCGTGGACTCTGGTACTCTGGTATTCTGAATACACACTGGTAAGGTTTGGTTCCTCTGGTAAGGTAATGACTCGGATATAAAAGGGTAGATTGGAGTATAGGTTTTTGTATGGTAACTCTCGATGTTTGTAAGAATAACAGACTCGTTAAATAAAAATCAACTTGTATTAACTTTAAGATGCATTAAATATCAATACATATAAATATTAAATAACTTAACAGTATTCTAGTCTAACAAATAAATACTTTATTAACCTTCTATCGTGAATTAAAGAAAATGGATAGCGGAAAAATATAGTTTGGTGATCGGCAAATGGTAAATCAAATTCAATGCCAAAAGATAAAGTTTCTCTCGAGAAGTTATTCTCTAAATGTAACTTGTAAAGGAATTAACAAATCCACATTATACGGACGTAGTCTACTCGGACATTGTAATAGTGTTGGCTGTCTGGTTAACTACTTGGTCTGGTACATGGTATCTGTACGTATATCAAAATCGCTTGGACTTAACGTGTGTTACTTGCCCAGGGTAAAATTGTGCTGAAGACTTATCTGTATTCTCCGCCGTATTTATACTTAGGTAAACTAATTTACCGATTTGGTTTACCATTTACCATTTTGGTTTACCATTTACCATTTCGGAAAATACCTAAATTACCAAAACCGGAACTGGTGATTACCAAAATAGGTAATGACGTCATTGTACGTCATTTTAAGTACACAATGCACAGGTGTTCCTATGTAAAAACATAGGCAAGAATAATAATATGTTTTAGAGTTACCAATGTTTAAACATAGTTATACAAGAAATATATAATAAGAAAAGTCAATTATCGGTAAGATACAACGTCATCACACAATTTTAGGAGAAACAAGTTGCAATTCAGGGGACCCACATTTCGTTACAATATAAATAGGAGATGTTATATGATTGCCATGTGTTAACAATCCAACAGTCCAAATGGCGTGGATGTAAGCAACCACAGAACACAGTACACTGCCTTGGACAATGAGCAAAGCACTTACTGTATATATACATGTAGCTATGAAAGGCCCCGACATGATAAAATGTAAAAAGTTCACCATAAATGAGGAATTTGTAGTAGACATTTTCTAGTTTAGCAATAGCTTGCAAAAATCCAAGTGAACTCTTTTTATAACATCTATAATGCTGTGACCCCAGGTGCCATAAAGTAAACTAGGTTTTACTATTTTATTGAATTAATCAGACTGACATCTCACAGATACAAAATGTAGGTTATGCACTCTCTCCCTTTTTATATATGATATAAGTGTACATACATGTAGCACGATAAGCCATAGTAACTAATATCTGTTTGGCAAAACTTTGCCAAGTATGGAATGCCTTTGACAACTTCCTGGTTCATTTTTTTATCGTAAAAAAAATGATTGAGATAAACGCCCTTAATGAGTTTTCTTTTTCCTCTAAAATTTACAAAAAGTTTCCAAAGTTTAGGATAAAATATTTCCTTCAAATATACAACTTCAACAGAAATATTGTCCATATATACATAATGAAATCATTGTAACATCTGTAGGATATATTGTTCTTCCAATAAAAGTGTTTTAAATTCATGACACGAAATCTGCGACTAAACGAAAACCAAATGAACAGCGCTTGCATAGTTGTTCATTATTTCAACATCACAGTGAAGAAGTACCTCAACCCTACTGGAAGTATTAGAAGGCAAACATCACAGTGATGAGTATCTCTGCCCTACTGGAAGTATATGAAGGCAAACACGAACCACACAATGATTTCAACCCTTGCAACTCACAAAAACAGCTATGATATTTTACAATAATCATTTATATCATTTAAACCGTTTAATCTAATATTTTGTTTTGAAATATGTCCGTTAAATAGAAAGTTAAAAGGTTAACTACTCAAGGAGAGATTGATTTGATAAAAAAAATCAATAGATATTTTACTTTTATATTTATTGATAGTATATATGTTGGGTAAAATTCAATAGGACTGTTACACAACAACAAAAAAGAAACAACTAGGGGTCAATATACCTTAATGATGCCCATGATTTAAGGTCACATATAATATGCCAAGCTCTTACTTTGGCTTGAATTAGATATGGTATGCGAAAATTCACATTTAATTGTCCAATGTGACTTGTACAGACTTAAACGCTCAAACTATCTTGATATCACAAGCCCTCCCCACCCCTACCCCTTTCCGAACTTACATTTAAAAATGAATTCTGTATTGTTGTCACAGACTGCTTCAATAAAAAGTATACGACCAACACTGAAGGGGCAGCATATTGAAGACATCCAGGAAACAAAATATTAAGGTTAAAGATAAAATAAATGCATCCAGATCATCAAGCAAATTGACTCCGTCAGAGTGCTAATATTCAGTTATATTGCGATTGTTCTTTTAACTTGCATTTATATTTTTTTGGAAACAAGAAACTGGAAATGTCATTAGCACTTGGACTTTACTTACATAGCAGTGGTATAAATTCGAAAGACCCCAATAGCCCTTGACCCCTAAAATTTGAACTGGGCTATTAATTTTTTCCCATTTTTGCTTGATCACATAACACTGGGTTACCAAAAATTTTGGCTGAGATACCACTTGAACACATTTGAACATTTTAATTTCCGTCCTTATATAGGCGAAGTAAAAACGATGATAAACTCCAGCTAAAAATAAAATAAAATAGTCTACCCTTAAAAGGTAAAATACAACGGTAGCTGTATCTACTTTTCTATTTACAACTAAAATCCAACAGTGCTTTAAATTGACTTGTGTAAGAATCTAAACGGTTTAACTACTTTAAACCAACAATGTATCCAATTGTATATTGTCAATAATGGTGTCATCATGAATTCCTTATTGACAGTCATTTATATCGGGTTCACGTACTGTTTTTCTTTTTGCCATACCGTTTTCCGAGTTCTTCAGTTTATATTTTTTGGTTGCCCAATTTACACCCTCTTATAGCCAGTAGCTACTCCTTTCACTGATGTAGTGCCTATACATGTCATCAGTGCCTACTGAGTAATTGGGATGTTCACGAATAAGGAAGTGGATGTTAACGTAATATCAACATGTCACAAAACAATCCATGTTTACTTGAACTTTGTTATCCAAGGTTTTAATTATCTGACGGTAAATTTTATTCTCCCGTAGTAACTGTTGTATTTAAAGACATTTGTTTATCTTTTTACTGATATTTTCAAACTTTATACTGAAAGAAAAGAGACAGAGGAACTATATTATTTATTGTACCCTTAATTATGCGATAAATCTATTTTTGGGTTAGTTCGTTCAACTACTTTAAAACAAATCATATCCGAAGTAAGTCATTGTCATTTTTCATATGAAACAGTCTTCAAACAAGTCATGCCTACAAGAATGGTAAGTATTCGGATGAGCAAACTTTATTATGAATTCATATTTTGAATTTTCTTTAGATCTTTCAACTCATTCAATCACGACAAAATATGATTTTACAGAAACTTTTATCAGATCAAACTTTGAGAACATGTAGAACCTATATCTAAACTATAGTTTTGTTAAATGTTAATGAAATTGATGTAGATATTTTTGGTAGTTTAATTCATTTATTCATTTTATTTTATCAATGTATAAAAAAACAACTTTTGTATTTATTGGTTGACAAAATATATATTTTTTTACAGATTTTTAAGTTATTCTTCACGCTTAGTGTTTTGTATCTGGTAAATTGTCATGCGGGATTTGATTGTTACTGTAATCTGAACCACCCTGAAGCATTGATATATAACTGTCCAAATGGACAAGGATTTCCGATTGCAGCCTTACGGTTACCGTTACATGATATCATATACAGGGATGTAGATCTACAGTCGCCTTATTGTGTGCCTTTACTGGTTAACATACAGTCACAAGGAACGTGGGTCCCTGTATATACCAAGGGCAAGGTTAGATAAAGTTATTTGTACTATAACAGTTAACTCGAAAATACATAGGCAAATGCGATTAAGAATTGAATGCTTCTTCTGCAGTTTTATAGGGTATAAACGCCTTGCCGAAAATGTTATGGAAAGCGCGGTCAAGGCTTTAAAAAGAAGCATTCACATTTTAAAATTAAATTTCAATGCTTAAACCATAATATTGCGAGTGGAATTAAGTTTTTCGTCGGCTTTGATTTAAATATTCTCCACTTCGATATAACTATATGTATACTTCATGTGAAGGTATGAGGTTAATGACACATTGACGTATACCCCACTTCTCTTGTTTATATATAATTGTAGAAAAATGTGTTAACGTGCACATATCAAATGTGGCGGGGTTAATCATGTTTGTGGTGTCTGGAGTGAAGATATTCAGATTCTTGTTTTATCCCTTGTCGATTTATTCTTACCTTGTTCGTTTTATTTTAATCAATATGTGGTAAAATGTTCCCTTATTATGACGGTATAAAAAAGTGCGGCGATGAAGTTATACAGTCATTTTTGGCGATTCATCAGATATAAATAGCTACACATCTTGCAAAAAAAATATGTAAAAAAATATTTCGGGAACTGAACATTTGTACAGTGTCATGAGTGGAGAAATCTCACTGAATACAGTTGTAGAATCGATATATTTTGTCATTACTATTACACACTCGCCATGCAATCCAATAACATTTTCGCATTTTCTCGGGAACTTATCAGAGCACCTAGTAACAAGCTTGACGTGAGTATGATACATACATTGTGATGAGTTTTAACATCCATGATCCATTGCTCATCAACAATCTCATGTTTGTCTTGGCTGGTATGCATAAAACCACTTTATTAGAATATAGCAAAGTGCTCTCGACCAATGAAATTGTAGGAATTGATGTCTCTTAATTGTGAAGAATGAATGTAAATCATGTTCTTAGTAAGGGATTATCCTATTATTTAGGTCTATTTACAGTTCAAAACAACGAGTTTCTATAAATGAGTTACAACTGCCCCGAAGCAAATTAATCATATTGAAAGGATTTATCACACAGTGATTGGAACTGACTAAAAGTTGAATTGTGAAACAAAAATAATCAAAATAAGTTGAAGTCTACTGGTGCAGTAAAACTGGAACCTTTAATGTTATTATGAAAATATTAATGACTTCAAATCACTAAAAAATTAAACAATATCAAAGCAATGCAAAAAAAGAAAAAAAAAGTTTTAAAATCAAAAACAACCTAAATGTTTAACTTTCCAAAACTCTGATTACTGGACTAGCGGTTGGGAAGAATAGTTATTTCCAATATTCCGATAAAATTAAAGGAATTTAATTTAAGTTTCGAATATATTTAAAACTTTAAAAGGCATCTTATTTGAACATTCCACCGACAAAAAGAAATAGTATTTGATCTAAAAAGCCGGACCAAAATATTGGCTGTGAAATAAAATTAGTTGTAACTCAAATGTATTTATTGATTTAAACTGCAAATAAAAAAAGGATAATTCATCTCTAAAATGTTACATGAATTACATTCAAACTCATATTCAGGAAACATATACAATTCCTACCTTTTCTTTGAACTGTTGTGTCACCTAATGTCTATAACGCATTTAAAAATATTTCCCAAATTATAAGAATGTCCTTACATCACTAAAACTAATCCATAAAGGAAATGCCGAAAAAGGAAGTCATGCATTTATAATAAACATTGCACTGACAATGACACTAATTCTTGAATACAACCAATCAAGAGATCATTTGAGCCTTGAGCACTTCACAATATTCTAAGTTTGTAAGAAAATGATAATCCCTTACTTCATGATAAGTACTCGCTAACGCTCGTCCTTAATCATGAAGAAAGGGATTATCATTCCCTTACATATACAAAGATATCCAATCGTAGTACTAATTTATCGTAGGACATGTAAAAAAATGTTCGGAACAAAGCTTAACTTGAGTAGTTTTATGCATATCAGCCCTATGTATATGTAAGAGAATGATAATCCCTTACTTCATGATTAAGTACGAGCGTTAGCGAGTACTTATCATGAAGTAAGGGATTATCATTCTCTTACAAACTTAGAATATTGTAAAGTGCTCAAGGCTCAAATGATCTCTTGATTGGTTTTACTCAGAATTAGTTTCATTGTCAGTGCAATGTTTATAATTTATGCATGACTTCCTTTTTAGGCATTTCATTTATTGATTAGTTTTAGTGATGTCAGGACTTTCTTATAATTTGGGAGTATTAAATAAAAATGCATTTTAGACATTAGGTGACACAACAATACAAAGAAAAAGTTAGGAATTGTATATGTTTCCTGATTGTGAGTATGAATGTAAATCATGTAATATTTTAGTGAGGAATTATCCTTTTTTTTATTTACAGTTTAAATCAACAAATACATTTGAGTTACAACTAATTTTATTTCACAGCCAATATTTTGGTCCGGCTTTTTAAATCAAATACTATTTCATTATGTCAGGGGAATGTTCAAATAAAATGATTTTAAAAGTTTTAAATATATTCAAAAATTAAATTCCTGTTTTATTTTATTTTATCGGAACATTGGAAATAACTCTTTTTTCCCAACCGCTGGTCCAGTAATCAGAGTTTTGGAAAGCTAAAGAATTTGGTTGTTTTTGATTTTAAAACTTTTTTTTTGTATTGCTTTGGTATTGTTTAATTTTTTAGTGATTTGAAGTTATTAATATTTTCATAACTAATTAAAGCTACCAATTTTACTGCACCAGTAAACTTCAACTTATTTTGATTTTTTTGTTTGTTTCACAATTCAACTTTTAGTCAGTTTCAATCACTGTGTGATAAATCCTTTCAATCTGATAAATGTGCTTCGGGGCAGTTGTTACTAATTTATAGAAACTCTTTGTTTTGAACTGTAAATAGACCAAAACAATAGGATAATCCTTTACTTAGAACATTATTTACATTCATTCTTCACAATTAAGAGACATCAAATCCTACAATTTCATTGGTCGAGAGCACTTTGCTATATTCTAAACTTATATCACCAATGAGTGAAAGTTCACAGTTCATCTTGTTTTAGTATGTATGATTTTGTGAAATGATAATTGTTGTACATGCTCTATCATGTATAATTGTCCAAATAGACAAGGATTTCCGATTTAATTTTACTAATACTTATACTCCCTGGTCATAGCACACGATTTATCTATCATTTCCGTCATAGATCACACATATCTGTTACCTCTAAGTATTACATTTCAGCTTGGTTATTTGAATAAAGATGCTGGTTTTACACCAATGAAATGTCCGGGAATGTTGACTTTTAGTCCAAGTGAGTGTAACAGAGTCTCCAGTTTACGATATTTTGTCTTAAATACCCTACATCTTATCTATAATGATCTGATTAATACTGTTTTTACTAGAGATCACATGCATTGCTTTGGAAATTTAGATAATATGATTCAGATATAAGAATGAAGGGTAAGAAAACAAAGTCCAAATGGCACCCAGAATGACAGGATTGGTTACATGTCATGATAAATGCTATGTAATCTTTAAAAGACATATAAGAACTATCGGTCAAAAGAAAACCAAATTGTTATTGAGTACTAACGGACGATACCTGTTATTTCTATATGAATCCGCTTAGCCATACGGACACAAAGTAGAATGCGATGAGCCTACTTTGCTTCACCGGAGCGGAAGGGTTTAAATGATAATAAGTGTTAATAAGGTGCGTTACATAATTAAAAAAATGTATAACATGTGAGTTGCTACTTTTATGTATGCATTATACCTTTCCAGAGCACCTGAGACCACCCCGAGTTTTTGTTTGGGTTCGTGCTCAATCTTTAGTTTTCTGTGTTGTGTTTTTGTGTACTAGCTGTTTCTGTGTTGGTCTTTTTCTATTTTGACATGAAAAGGATATCTAGAGGTCAACAAACGGTCCTCGGTATTAGTTGCGTATAAGAAAATGAACTTGATAAGTATAAATTAGTATGATAGTTTTAGTTGGAACAAAATGTCTTTTTTTTCAATAACGAATACACGACCGATCAGATGATTTTAATACAGTAATACATGTACGTTCGTTAAAATCTGTCATTATATCTTAACTTGGGCAATACTAAGTGCATGGGTTTTTCCCCTCAGTAACTTCAAATATCTACAGGCACAGAATGACAAACAGTGGAACACGCATGAACACGTATGAACTGGGACAGATTCAGCATCTACTGATATACAATCATAAAACATTATAAACAATCAAATCTTGGTAACATGTTTAAGCAATTTGTAATTCAAACGAAAATCAGGACTTTAAATTGTAGAGACATTTTAAAGTGTCTTGTCTTTTTTCTTAGATTTACTAGCGAAGTCTCCTATATGTCAACACTACATTATTAAAACTCCAGGTATGTAGATATATATATATATATGTAAAAAGTATTATATGCGTTTTGGAAACAAAAATGCGCATACATGAATTGCCAAAAGCGTTTCAGGTCGGATCTTTTCGATCTTTTTAAGTATTTACTTTTAACGAGAAGAATGAACTTGAAAAATGCAATAACGTCATCAGATTTTTCTGTCGGTTAAGTTATTTAATATATGCCGATGTCGTCTCTGATTTCTGTTTTCAAGTTACTGTTGCTGCATGGTGTATGTTGTGTACTGTGTGTTTTACTTTTACGATATATTGTGAAGATACATATAATATATGATATAGGTATAAGGTTTGGTACCATTAACACGTTTAATCCCGCTGCAAATGTTTGCACCTGTCCTAAGTCAGGAATCTGAATACAGTAGTTGTCGTCTGTTTATGTAGTTCTTACGTGTTTCTCGTTTCTCGTTTTTATATAGATTAGACCGTTGGTTTTTCCGTTTGAAAGGTTTTACACTAGTAATTTTTTGGGGCTCTTTATAGCTTGCTGTTCGGTGTGAGCCAATGCTCCGTGTTGAAGGTCGTACCTTGACCTATAATGGTTTACTTTTATAAATTGTAACTTGGATGAAGAGTTGTCTCATTGGCACTCATACCACATCTTCCTATATCTATATATGTGTAAGGATGTGTTAGTGTCTAGACAGGTAGCCATCACAATTTGTGTTGGTGTATAAATCAGACTCAATCTCAATTGCGTGCTGTATTGTATTTGGACTGTAGTTGACAGTATTATAATTTCGGTCGGTTGATTTTATGAATTAGAATGAAATTATTTTCTTCTGAATTGTCCGCCCATAGATGGCGTTTGGGTTATGTGTTTTGTGTGATTTGGCGATTAAATCATTCGGCACGACAGGGTCTACTAGAAAGGTCACGTTGATTTTTTTTATACATGCTATTTGATATTTTGTATTATCATATACTTAGAGTAAATGACTTATAAGTTTTACAGTATGATAATAGCATTAAATTTACGTGAAAACCATATTTTCAGAAATGGTGCTTATATATGAAAAATTTATCAACTGCTTCCGGCTATTATATCAATAGCATTTTAACAAAAGTGGTTGTTGCAGTTTGCTATGATGCCACATACTTTAAGGTATCCTTGTTATCTGTTTAATAAACATGTGATATCTTAGATATTCGTGTATTGATATTTGTCTTCGGTTTCTAGGATTGAGTGTGACTGGAAGCCAGAACAGTGGTCAAGTGACAGGATCAACTACAACTACTTCTTCTCTTCCAAAAACGACCTGGATTAAAATACCTTATAAGCCTCGGACATCCACCACATGGCTTCAAATTAATAATACGCCACGTCCAACTCTACCAGCTCCATCCACAACAAAGTTACGATGGCTCAAAATAACATATCCACATAGACGTACGCCAATCTGGCAGCACGTTGGTGGAAAGGGTAATAGTACTGGTACGCTTGTTTGTAATACTTTTGAGATGATCCATTATTTAAATGTCTCACCTCTAGACTCTCGACTCTCAATTGTAAACGATAAACATTAATCTAACATATTCATAAAACCATGAAACGTTTAATAAAGTATGGGAATACTCAGCAGCCTCACATGTACAACACGATAGGGGAAATAACAACATTGAGCTAACACGTATTTATAAAATTGGAAAAAAAACTTAAGAGACAACATTATAGATCGTTTTAGAACAAGTTATTTACAAAGTGTATCGATGTCTAAGTTGTATGTTTAAAAAACTCTTCATAGATACCAGGATTCAAATTTTTCACGCCAGACGCGCGTTTTGTCTTTAAAAGATTGATCAGTGACGCTCGAATCAATAAAGTTTCAAAAAAGGCCAAATAAAAAATACGAAGTTGAAGAGAGCATCGATGACCAAAAATTCTGAAAAGTTTGGCCAAATATAGCTAAAGTAATCTATTTCTTCGGTAGACTGAGATTTTCAATGAGTATTTACATATTACTCTATATTAATGAGATTGGAAATGACAAAAATCTTAATATAAGTATGTAGTCGGGATTTTGATTTTCAACTTTAATACAAACAAAATGTTTTCCAACCTGCATTTCTTCAAGTAATTCTGTTAATACTCAATCAAAAATGTTACATTAAATTTTATACAAGTACTAGTACACAATGATAAGAACATCGAAAAAATGTATAAGTTATCATTTCATGATTGACAAGAAGAATTTTGTTTCTGTCTCTTAAAGCAAGGTGTTATGGACCTGACGTTGAAAACGACGTACAAAAGAAGCAGTCAATATTTTATCATATGTCTCGATCCTGTTCCTCGAATAGTGTAGCGGCTGATGAAGTCACTGCAGCCAAATATTGTTCTGCCCCGGAGCCTAAGAACTGGATACCCGGAAAACAGGTGAGAAAGGATAAGATGACACGAAAGAAAAAATATATAATTGTGTTTAATTAATGATGATGAAAGTCAAATAGTTAAGAAAAACAGAACATAATAAAATGTTCAGAAAAAAACTTTTTAAAATGTAAATTAACAAAGAATATTTATATGTACTTAAGACATTCACTTTTGACAGTGAACTAAAATCATCAACAGATCTCACAAAATGATAGCCCACCTCCGTCAATGTGTTCCTTCTTACGAAATTTCCACCAGAACAAATAAAATATACCTTAAGGTTCAAATATTGTTATATTTCTATCGAAAGGGATACCCGAAATTAATCTAGATAAAAAATTGAAAATAAGAGATGCGCAACGAAATCATAAAATTAAAATTCTCAGAAAGTTTCAATAAATTCTAACAAGGAAAAGTGGATACAATTGTGCACTGTAGTGTGCGGATATGGAAAAGTTTGTGTCTAGTTAAACCCATTATCATTCGACTGAAGAAATGGAATGGTCGGAATAAAAGTGCATCATGTGAGCAAGACTATAGAAGTTTTACAAAATTTGTCCAGTAGTTTGTGGCAAGTTGTGGATACAAAAGTGGCACGAATTGACAAAGGGACGGACAAACTAAACGAGCGGACGGACGGACGGACGGATGGACGATCTCCTTTCTCTATATATCGCTCTTTAAAGAAAGTGGGAAAAGAAGGGTGGTAAATGTTAACGCTGTCTGTGATGCCATAAATGTAGTTCTCTATTTGTTTATTTGTATTTATTGTTTATTTTGTTACAGATATTAGGCAACTGTAAATCAATTCAAAAGTACACACCAGTCTCTACTTTTATAACTGGAACAGCAAGCGGTGATGGAACAGCCATCTTCTTAGAGTGCACACAGAAGGGAACAATTATGGTTTGTGGTCATTAGAAATATAAATACTTAAATTGATATTTAACTTCAGATAAAGTAAAAAGAATACTGGTTATCCTGTTGGTTTAAACCCAAAACATTTTTGCAAGTACTAAGTCAGGATGTCTGGACCATTTTTGTTCGTTGTTGTTAGTTTGTGTTTGTTCTTTTAACTATGAAGACAAATACCCCTTGTCAAAATTGTAAACTATGTATATGTAATACATCATTTTGTTTGAGACAAATTGAAATTTTACAACGCAATATAAACGATTTGCATAATGTATTGAAGTCTTCAAAATAATTTAGATCGGACTGTGATTTATCAATTTAGGGACAGATTTGGATATTAATGTAACATCTAACGCTTTAACTGTTGCGAACAATAGCACCATGCAAGATTGGTGCTTGCATGTAGTTTTGAAAGTTTACCAATATATGGTGAGATAACAAGGATACAATTCTTTGCTACGAGCCATTCAACGATTTTCAAGGTATTCTACAAGTATTTTTTTAGGAGTCGGGTTTTTGTTGTTTGTGTGGTCTATTGTACTGCCAATGTTTTCTGTAATTCCTGTGAACAGTACGCACGAATTGATTTTAACGGTAACGCAGAAATTTGACGTTTCGCGCCAATGACCGAGTGTATTTTATTTCTTTTCGTTGTCATAGTTGGTTGTATTTAACTTCTCAATCTTTTGGATCTTATACAAACGATCAAATCGAGTATTGAAACATTCTGTGTTCGTTTGTTTGTTTAAATGGTAATAGTCATAATTTAGGTCATCGCCTAAAACCGCAACTACCATGTCCTTTTAAGCGATGTTTCCGCCGATGATAAGAGATACTATTATATCACAAGTGTCATAATTCGAAACGATAACAGTTTAATCATTTTTCTTTCTTTTTTTTTTTTATTTTCAAATAAGTTGCGTTTGCTCGTCATGTGTAGCTCCAAACTGAAATTTAAATTTATTGTTCAAAAAAAGGACAAAAGCACCTGCTCGGTAAAAATTAAGTCAACCTGAAAGAAAATAATGTGTAATCTGTAATTTCAAGCGAGTACGAATTTTCTCCAACACTATTGACCCTACTTGTGTTGATATATGGGAGGTTTTTTAATCCGTGTCTGTTGCGCTAACTAGGGACAGAACTTTTGCCTTGTATCAGGCCATCTACGGATCCCGCAAAGAGTTGTTTCAAGAGTTCTTAACGTGCAGAGAGCGTGACACCGGATTTAACGTCCCCATTCTGACCGGACGTGGCTGCGTACTTGCACATCCCGCGCAGCAAAACGGACATCACACTTTGGCAAGAGTTTAACAGCTGGTCGAAAGAAGACCTGTAGGGACCATATTTCTATTCCCCGGTCATCCTAGGGGGTTATATTAATAATGAAGGTATTTCAAAGTGATTTTTTATTGTTTTCATTACAGGTTGTCAGGCAGACATGTAAAAGCAAAATGTTGGAATTGGTAGAAATAAGTCCGACTTTAGATTTGTTCGTTGTTGATTGGTAACGCCAGTTTAGCTAGTATGTCTACGTTCAAGACTGAAATAAAAGACTACTTTCAATATTGAATTGGCATGACCATCATAATTTTATATATGTATCGTTTTATAGAATGTGCTGTGTCAAAACTGCTATTCATTGTTTTTCATTAAGTGAGAGATTAAATTTTAGATAACTGTTTTTGAATACCTCAGTGCTAGAAATGCAAACTACTGCTTTTTCTTGAACTAAACAAACGCAGTAAAGTATTTTTCACAAGCAGACATTCCATAACTTCATTTTTCTTAAATAACTATCAATTCAGAATTTCAGCTTATAAGAAATTGTCTTTTTCTATATTTCTTCACTGATTCTTGATGATAAATTTGGTGTTTCGCACATGTTTGTGGTGTTGGTTATCAGTTATACAAACCGCTTCGGTGGTCTCGTTGTAGCGTGTTCGCCTCGAGTGCGTGAGGTCGTTGGTTCGAATCCAGGCCGTGTCAAACCAAAGACTTTTAAATTGATATTTGCTGCTTCTCCGCTAAGCACGCGGCATTAAGGAGTATGAGCAAAGACGGGTCTGCTCGCAGTCAGAATAAAGTGTCCGGGTAAGGTGATATGTATTCCTGCAGACTGTTACCTTGTGAACTAGCACATTAAAATGCGACTCAACGTGTCGGTCTAGTACAACGCGGGGTTAATATTCATATTACGTTAACATGTTCTCTTCCTGAATATGCATATTGATTTGCCGCTGGACGTTAAGCAGCCATCCTTCATCATAGTCATCAATTATACAACATCTTCTGGCAAAGAAATACATGTTTGCATTGCCAAAAGTTAACTTGCAAAGAATTGCAATGATGAGGAATAAAATAAGAGACGTGTATTTAAGTTTTATTTCCAACTAAAAATTAGAAAATATATAGAATTGATTCTGTTCATGAGAAGAAATTATTGATAGTATGATTTTAGTCGACAGTACGAGACCCTCCTGGGTAGTCATGGTCGTTACTTGTATAGTATTATAACAACCTGTCTTACTAGTATTAATAGAAAAACAAAGGTCTTCATTATAAAATCAGTACATACACAGCAGAAATCACAAAAAAGCAAAGGAACTGCGCTTTGCTTGTTGTTCTTGATCTATTTCTTCTGCTATCTTTTCTTATATACATAAAGATGTATTTAGAGTGTATATATATTACTGCCTTATAGACAATTTAATGAAGATTACAAATATGAACCCATGGAAAAGAACCCGCAATTTTATCTTAACCTTCAGCATATAATTTAGGCGTTAATTCTACCCTACCCTTATCCTAAAACCTAACCTTAACCGCAAACAAAGACTAACCTAACCCTAACTGTAAACGGTTAACTAACTGAAAGTAGTTGTTTGCTCATCGTCCAATGGCAAATATGTAAAGTGTGTTCCGGTAGGGTTCTACGAGATTGAGGGACTGGGAATTTGGACTCCACTGCAAAATTAGGGTATGTTAGATACCAACAGACATTTTGCCTTATACAGACCAATCAAAGAGTTGTTACAATGGTTTCCCATTGTGCAGAGAGCTTGTGACTCTCTTTTCACGAGGCATAGGATTAAACTTCCAATTCTGATCGGGCGTGGCAGCGTATTTATACATCCCAGTTCTTGTGACCTCATTTCTATACTCCCAATCAATTCTTGGGGTTTAGAGTAAAAGAGGCCACAATTATATTTATAACAGAGGTTCCTAAAAATATAAAAGTGGGTTTTATAAAATGATTGTATAGTTAGAAGTTTAATAATCCATTGCCTCTCTAGTCACAATACCAAAGATTACACCCCAGTTCTATTGTTATACTTTATAGTTTCTATTTCTGAAACAAGTGTAAATTGAATAGATCTATTGTTACGAATAACAATGGATTTTGACCACAGAGCCGTCGTGGTTTCTTATCCAGACACACCTATCCCTCAGTGTATAACTATTACATAATGTCTACTTTTTAAGTCGATGTAAGGTTTCAAGAAACATATGAGAAAAGATTTCCAATCTGTGCTAATTATTTGGACCACTTCTGGGTCCACCTTCATTCGGACGTTCGTTAAAGATTCTTTTGCGACCCGCTTAATTGTTGCCTCGATTACAAAGGAAGAATTTGTAGCGTTGCCACGGTCCTTAATCTCATTCTCATTGTTCAGCGACTACTTAAGAAAACTATAATGTTTTTGTCATGTGAATTTTTCACTCATTATGAGTAATATTATTACTATATGTATATTTGATATATGGGGTCATTGAAAAACCTTCTTGTCCGTCAGACAGGGTTTCTTGATCTCATTTCATGGATCAGTGATCAAGGTTAAATTTACATGACAAGATCCACTTCTCATTTACTATAAGCAGTAGGTCAACTAAATTTGGTGTATGAATGATCAACCCCAGTTTGTGGTGGGGTTCATGTTACCCAGTCTTTAGTTTTCTATGTTGTGTTTTGTGTACTATTGTTTGTCCATTGGTCTTATTCTTTGTTTATAAAGTAAAGACTTATTGTCAACAAAAAAATAATGATAGAGAAAAATCAGCATAAAAGTAAAGGGAATAGAATAAAGGGGTGCAAAAGTATAAAGAATAAATGCAGAAAATAAAAAAATTATGTAATACAATACATATTACAGAATTGAACCATTTACAAAATTTAAAAAAGAATCATAAAAAAATTTGCAGAATTATCAATATAGTTTAAAGATACAAAGAAATGCCAAAAATGATAAAACAATACAGAAATACGGGATCCCCTTTTCAGACTCTAATAACATTCAACATATTCAACATTCATATTAAACACAATAATGCTCGACAACATTTACAAACAACAATCATGATTGCTTATTTATGCAACTGTTCATAGCAACACAATATACATTATAAAAATAAAGAGATGTTGTAGTATTGCCAATGAGACATCTATCCACCAAAGTTCAAATGAAGTGGATGTAAGCAATTATAGGCAGCCGTAAGGCCTTCAACAATGGAAATCCATACCGTATAGTCGGCTATAAAAAGTCCCGACATGAAAACACGAAACAATTCAATTAAGGAAACTAACGGCCTTATTTATAACATAACAATTTACGAAAAACAAATCAGACAGACATGCAGCAACGACAATCACTGAACTATAGACACATGACTTGAGACAGGCACATAAAGAATGTGGCGGGGTTAAACATGCTTGTCAGGGCTCAACCGTCACCCTAACCTAGGACAGTGGTGTTACAGCACAACATAACTATAAAAATCAGTTGAAAAGGGATTAACTCATCAGATCGATACAAAGCAGAAAAAAGCATCTAACAAAAACACAGACCGGACGTGGCAGGGTATTTATACATCTTTTCTTTTCTTTCTTTATTTATTTTGCCCATTATTCTATATTGTTTAAATTTAAGAATATTCTCTATTTAAATTATACCCAGACTCGCCCTTAAAATTAACAACAAAAATGAGGTTTTTGCTTCAGGCCGGTATTTCAGTTGTTGATTTAGGGTTTTAAAGAGGGAGATGAGCTTGCAAAAAAAAAAAAAAAAAAAAACAGTGAAAAAAATTGAAAACATGAAGTAAAAACACATAAATGTTTGTCCATAAAAGGGGGGCATGACTTCCGTGCCTTCCCCTAAATGTCCACTTCAAAATTTCTCAAATGAACTTTTATGGGAACGTATTGCTGACGTCACAACAATGTATTTTAGAGTTATACCAATAATATCTCTATATTAGTACAGCTTCTAAAAGCTTGTTTGCTGTAGAAAAAAAGGTGTTATTAATTCATATAATAAAAAGTATAAAAAAAAACATCAAATAGGACAGAAAAAAGGCAATAACATATGTATACAGGGCCCATAATATGTAAATGCTTTGTAGATATCTGCATTATTCATCATTTCAATGTAAATCAAAAACGTTTTTGAGATGGAGTGAAATACTTTAGATGATCTTAGATATGCACATTATGAATGGCCTATATTTTTTTAATATACCTTACCTTTCAGAAGAATATAGTACCCTACCTTTCGGAAGAATAAAGTACCCTACCTGTCGGAAGAATCCTATCAGACTGACGAACCATCCACCCTTTCTTTTTGGTTCTTGCTCTGTTAAAGTAATGAAACACATTTGATAAAACATTCGGAGTCTATCATTGTTATTGGTAATACCACATTAGAATGTGAACGTCAAAAGCGATGCCTCGAGTAGAAGGAAGGTTTGAGGTTCCACGAGATAACATAATGGACGGGAGAAAAGAGAAGAGGATATGAGTGGTGGTTGGGAATTGGAAGAGGGAACTACGCTACTCAAAACAATAAAATACTAGCTTGCATCAAATTATCATTTAGGTCTTTTCCATCTTTTTCTTCCATAATGACCTGTATATCCTTCAAGTTAAAATCTTCGTATTGACGACTTTCTAATTCCTACACTTTCCCGTAAATTATTGATGTCACAATGCTTATGTTATCACGTCATAGTAAAAACGATGACGTCGTTTACACCGCTTGACCTCAGGTCAAACCGTGTAACACATTCATACAAAACAACTCGACGAGACTGGTGTAAATTCTATTAATGCCGAGGATATTCCTCATAAACGGTCCTTTTTAGGTCCATCAATATTTTACAGAAAGAATCTAACTTTGCTGTACATGCGAGAAATTCTTAGGCATAAAATAATTTTCTAACGTAAGTGTCTTGACAATCAACTTCACAAATAATGGAGTCTTCATTAAGCAGTATTTAGAACTGAGGGGGTCAGACCCATGTCAGATAAGCTTATGATTGTGATTTTTTACATAAATTTGTTAATTGAACTCTTTCTTAAAATATGTTCTATAAAAGTAAAATCACAAAAATACCGAACGCCGAGGAAAATTCAAAACGGAAAGTCCCTAATCAAATGGCAAAACCAAAAGCTCAAACACATCAAACGAATGGATAACAACTGTCATATTCCTGACTTGGTACAGGCATTTTCTTATATAAAATATGTTCTATTGTATTGTATTTAATTGTATCATTGTTTGTTTGTATTGCTTGACCCTTATGGGTGTAATTTTGCAATAAAGATTATTATTATTATTTGAATGACCCTTTGTTATCTTTTGCCTTTCTTTTACACTGACCTTGGACTATTCAATGGAATTAAAGT